TCCCTAAGAGAATCATCACTACACTACCACACTCCCTGGTAGTGTCCCGTACTCCACCCACACCTTCCAGACGCAACTCTGGTCAACACACTCACATGAGGCACCCAACGCTTGCTGGGCTGGTTATCGTCGCTGCCACAGGCGGAGGAGGACCCCATCGAACGGCGGCTTGCAGAAGACTGCCCGCTTCTCCTCTCCTGTCTATCATCACCTGATGATAATCGACTTGATAACGGTTCAGGGCGGACCGAAACGCCGTCGTCTCTTTGCTTTCTAGTGTGTGCTTTGGTCAATAATCATCAGCTGACCTCTCGGCCGCAACCTTGACCACCACACCCAGCATGGTCAAAGGCATCATAATCAAATACACAGGAATCTCCTTGTTTCCACCATCTTGGTATCAACCATTGACCTCTTGGCTGTTACAATAGTTTGGGCGGGCTAAGCTCTCTTAATCTCTGTCTTAATCTCGCCTCAATATCTAACCACAGTCTGAGTTCTCACGTGTACTACCACTCCTTTCACCCATACCCAACCACTTGGACTGGACGTTAGAGCGACGGTCTCGCTTCATGCAGGTCGGCGTTCAATCACCAACCGTCCAAGTGGTTGGGCACCATTTCTTCTCTCCGTCCCATCCCAAATCATTATCCTGACCCTTTCCAAATGCTATATAGTCGTGATGGCTTGGCGCTTTCTCCTGACAATTCCCTCCCTCCTTTCAACCATCATTTGTTAAGTGTTGTAGTGCTCGATTCACTAACTAATACTCCTAATTTCTAGATTACAACACCACTCCCCTCCTCAAACACGCATATGTTCCCATATACATCTTGTAATGGTTCCATTGATCTGCATCTCCCAAGCACCTGGAGGATACATCTACCTTATTATCTTCTACTACAAATTGGGTACAATCTTTACAATATCTTCCCGACCTACATTACAACACCTATACATCATAGTCATTAAATCCGCAACATGGCAAAGGTAATATAATCTGTAATTTCATTTCGGAAAGGTTAGCCCCTTAACTGATCTCTGGTTGCAATAATCCCATCTTTCCGGTTTAGTGGTGGAATTATTGTCCTAGTGAATATCCCTGCCGATCGTTAACAAGAAACCCTCCAGTCTTGAGATTCAACTGTTTCTGATTGATGAAGATTGAGCCACCCAAAAGGTGGCACGGGCATGAATAGCCCGTAAGTGGTGGCCCTTTTGAGCCATTACCAGTATCATTACCTGATACTGGAGATCTGTGGAGGTGCGACTGCACCCTGTGTGACGGGAGATGTCTCCCGTCTGTTTCTGATACAACTCTCGCTTTTTAACCGACACTGACGCGCTGCCCGAGAGGCGCGCGGCAAGGGGGCAGCGGGTCACCGCCATTCAAGTGCCGCCAGCAGCTCTTCCCAATTACCATTTTTATTCCTCCAACAATCACCATAACGTACCACATCCTGTCCCCGCTCGCCTGGTCTTCTCCGCTGCTGAATCACCAGCTCGACTGGTGGTTCAGCAGGCCTAGTGGTTCTGTTGAGCAATCCACACACTAGAAAATGAAGGGACGACGACGTTTCGGTCCGTCCTGGACCATTCTCAAGTGAATTGTGCAACCCACAATCGACTTGAGAATGGTCCAGGACGGACCGAAACGTCGTCGTCCCTTCACCTTCTAGTGTGTGGTCTGGTCAACATACTTCAGCCACGTTATTGTGACTCATCGCCTGCTAGTGGTCCTGTCCTATTGTCACCCAGGAAGGGAGGGAATTATCAGGGGGGATAGCGCCAAGCGATTACGACTATATAGCACTTAGAAGGGGTCAGGATAATGATTTGGGATAGGACGGGAAGAAGGAATGGTGCCCAACCACTGACAATCCCCGGCAACAATGGTCGGGGATTGAACGCCGACCTGCATCAGAGATACATCAGAGACTCCAACACCGGAGAAATGCTGGCGGACTTACTGTGTTATGTGTGAGGTCGTTGTTCTCAAGGTTCCCAACCTGACCCAACTTTGTGCATAACCAGAAGTTGACAATCACAATACAAGGCTCTCAGCCAGCCTCATGCTGGCTGTGCCATTCTGAAGAACTTTACTCCATCAGTGAACATTCAGTCTTAGTCTGACTCGCATTCGGAACATATTCCCTCATTATGTAAATACATATGAAATCAAGTCAGCCAACAATATGAAGGCTCTGGCACTGCTTAAAATTTATATTCTCTAGAGCACAGATGAGAGATACATAATAATTTACACTTGGAACATTTAGAAAGACTGGTTCCAATTCTGCAAATGGAAATAATTCCCTACGAGACCAGGAAGCATGGCAAGAAGTGTCATGCCGTCGCACTCGCAGGGCCAGAGAAATGGTACAGTGTCATATCATACCAACAGAAAACCGCGCTGTTAAAAAGCAGAGGTACAGTAGGTATGTGAAGATACATTTATATCACCATAAAGGGCCCAAGACTTGAACATCCTCCCTCTAAGCATAAGGGGCATAACTAGCCGACCTCTCACGATGTTAAAAAAAAGATAAATACCTCCAAAGGTTACCTAATCAACCCGGCTATGTGTCTCATACTCCAGACTGCGAGCAGCAGCACTGTCTAACAGTCAGGTTGACCAGGTGAAGGCTCTCTCTAAAGACACTTTGATATAAGAGCCTGCGGCAAAGCTTGCGACCCAACAATACGGACATAAGCCTCACCTAGTGACCTACATAGTGCGGGCGCGGCCCCCAGGGATAACACACACAGTAGCCGCCGCAGGGAAGGCTCTGAAGAGGCGGCCAGCTTTAAGTGTACTCGTAATACTCCACCTGAACGTTACTTCACATCCCGTTCTCCTTTGCTTTTATTCCGTTTCGAGAATTATGCTATGCAGGACCAACAGGGGGACCTGGCTTGTCTTTTGATAAATTGAGCGATCAGGTTGGTGCTTGCAACGGCCCACTGGAGAACATATTCGTAACATGCAGATTAACCCGGCACTTCGTACAGGTACTTTCCTATCTTGAAATTTAATAGTATTCCGTAGGCAATATTTTTCATATGCTAGAAGGATATCGAAGAGCCATGGACTTTTGATGTTGAAACAGTGGTCATACCCATGACACCTCTACTCTTCATTGGTTCTATTTTGCATTTTCTACAATCTCTGTTGCTTCAGTAATTGTTTTCCGTATTGGGGACCTGAATTTAGAGTAGCTTCGTGTATATATATTAATTATGTGAAATATCTCTCGTCTCCATTCCAAAGACTACATATTGAGACCTTTAAAACTATCTCAGTAACCTTGGTGTTTTAGTATATCAAGTCCAATATGTTATCAGTATTCCTTCTATTTCGGAAATCTGTCATGACTTGGTCTGTAGTTGTTAACGTCAGTGAGATCACCACATTTGTGGACAGGGGTTACTTTCGCTTTATTTTAGAATATCTGGAAAGGTTTGGAGTTCAAGTGACTTGTTGAAGAGCAAAGCAATAGCAGGGGCTAAAGATCTGGAGGCTTTTTTGTAAATTAAAGTTGGTATCTCCTCAAGGGCACCAGACTTGGTTTTAAGGGAAAGTATTATCTCATTAACATCAGTGGAATTTGCAGATGTTGGGCACAGAGACTGGATAGTTACCTGTAAGATATTCCTGAACATCAGTACTGGAAGATGGAATATCATTTGCAAGGGATGACCCAATGGAAGAGAACCTATTGAACTCAATAGCAGTATCAGAGGCTGTAAGCTGACCATCGTATTGGTTTGGTATTTAAAATCTTCTTTGATCCCAATATTTGTGAAATTGTGCTCCATGTTTTCTTAATGTTGTCCTTTGTTTGGGTAAATTTATCTTCGTAGTATTTAGTTTTGGCTCGTCTAATTATTTTAGGTAGCATTGACGAGTAATTCTTTGAAAATTCTTTGGAGACGATTCCTATACTTCTTCTCAAGGTCATGTATTTTATTAATAGATTTAAGTATTCCCTTTGTAAGCCAAGGATTGTTTAGCTGACCCGAGTGTAGTGACAGTTGCCATCAGTCTCCAGCTGACCAAAGACCCGAGTGTAGTGACAGTTGTCATCAGTCTCCAGCTGACCAAAGACCCGAGTGTAGTGACAGTTGTCATCAGTCTCCAGCTGACCAAAGACCCGAGTGTAGTGACAGTTGCCATCAGTCTCCAGCTGACCAAAGACCCGAGTGTAGTGACAGTTGCCATCAGTCTCCAGCTGACCAAAGACCCGAGTGTAGTGACAGTTGCCATCAGTCTCCAGCTGACCAAAGACCCGAGTGTAGTGACAGTTGTCATCAGTCTCCAGCTGACCAAAGACCCGAGTGTAGTGACAGTTGTCATCAGTCTCCAGCTGACCAAAGACCCGAGTGTAGTGACAGTTGCCATCAGTCTCCAGCTGACCAAAGACCCGAGTGTAGTGACAGTTGCCATCAGTCTCCAGCTGACCAAAGACCCGAGTGTAGTGACAGTTGCCATCAGTCTCCAGCTGACCAAAGACCCGAGTGTAGTGACAGTTGCCATCAGTCTCCAGCTGACCAAAGACCCGAGTGTAGTGACAGTTGTCATCAGTCTCCAGCTGACCAAAGACCCGAGTGTAGTGACAGTTGCCATCAGTCTCCAGCTGACCAAAGACCCGAGTGTAGTGACAGTTGTCATCAGTCTCCAGCTGACCAAAGACCCGAGTGTAGTGACAGTTGCCATCAGTCTCCAGCTGACCAAAGACCCGAGTGTAGTGACAGTTGTCATCAGTCTCCAGCTGACCAAAGACCCGAGTGTAGTGACAGTTGCCATCAGTCTCCAGCTGACCAAAGACCCGAGTGTAGTGACAGTTGCCATCAGTCTCCAGCTGACCAAAGACCCGAGTGTAGTGACAGTTGCCATCAGTCTCCAGCTGACCAAAAACCCGAAAAACCGGTGTGTAAAGTGATATACTCTAACTGTCCGAAGCAAAGTTTCTAACCCCTGGCCTCTGGTCTTCTGGCAGGTGGCTCGGATCATCCAGGGGGACCAGTTGCTGCCGACGCTAATGGAGCGCCAGGGTTACACCGCCTTCATCCCTACCAACGAAGCCCTCAAAAAGTACCAGGGCCCAAAAGACCGCAGGCTCATCCAGTACCATCTTGGTGAGTCTTTCATATACCACGCATATGCCCCTGTCCTTGTCTCTCCCTGCCGCACCCTTGCCTCTGATGTGTGAATTTTCCATTGCATTGCGCAGACTTTCCGGCGCCCAGCCCGTCCTCCGGCGCCGCGCCGCTGTGGCTGTTCTGCTTTAAGTTGTTCTGCTATGCACTGCTTTCTTGTTAAACTATCACACTCTTGGGAACAATCTTCCTAGCTGTGCTTGTCGGGAGAAGGCTGGCTGGTAAGTGCATCTCAAAGTCCATCATAATGGTGAACAGGTTTTATATATTAGGCCATAACAGCTACCATGCACTTTGTAAACAAAAAATGACATCACTAAACTTAAGTAGAAACATGTGGTAAGACCTCCAGTGGCTGTGACAATTGGGTAGACAGGTCCCCACCTAGGTGTCGGCCCCGCCTGGACCTCCCTAGTTACTTCCCCCACACCACTACTGCTAAACTCACAGACTACTGCGACATAAACACCGTCAATACCACTACTAATACTGCTATTACTATTACTACCATTACTATTACTACTACTACTACTACTACTACTACTACTACTACTACTACTGCTACTACTACTACTACTACTACTACTGCTACTACTACTACTACTACTACTACTACTACTACTACTACTACTACTACTACTACTACTACTACTACTACCACTACCACTACTACTGCTACTATTACTACTATTACTCAGATAATAACGGGCGTACGCACGCAATTTCTCACAAATGCACACGCTTACACCCACGGAAGCACACACACACACACACTCGTACCCACACATGCACAGGCATCCCAAAGTGAGTGAGCAACAACCATGCAACAACTTAAATACCATGCAAGGTGATGGAGTAGATCATGAGGGAAAAAGCTCTTAAATTACAAAACTCTTTCATGTGGAGAGAAGGAGCGTTATAATACACCACCAACATGGGTTCAGGGATGGTAAATCAGGCCTCAGGTAAATCAGTTTAATATAATTCCATGACCAGGCGACAAAGTTAGAGAAATTCAGAGGTATGCCACCAGGCTAGTTCCAAGGCTGAGAGGCATGAGTTACGAAGAAATTAAACCTCACGTCTCTGGAAGACACAAGAGTTAGGGGGAGACATGATCTGCACATACAAAATTCTCAGAGGAATTGACAGGATGGACAAAGATAAACTGTTTAGCATGGACAGAGCATGAACAAGGTGGAAACCTAGGTGTCGGTTTGAAACTGAGTAACCAAATGAGCAGCAGAGACATTAGGAAGAGTTTTTTAAGTGTCAGGGTAGTTAACAAATGGAAGGCATTAGGCAGTGATGTGATGGAGGCAGACTCCATACACAGTTTCAAGTGTAGATATGATAGAGCCCAGTAGGCTCAGAAACCTGTACACCAGTTGATTGACAGTTGACAGGCGGGACCAAAGACTGGAAGCTCAACCCCCACAAGCACAACTAGGTGAGTGCAACTAGGTGAGTACGCCTGCCTCGCCTTGTCCCTCCAGTCTCGCTTTGTCTCACCCCCTGCCTCGCTCTGTCTCGCCCCCTGCCTCGCTCTGTCTCACCCCCTGCCTCGCTCTGTCTCGCCCCCTGCCTCGCTCTGTCTCACCCCCTGCCTCGCTCTGTCTCACCCCTTGCCTCGCCCTGTCTCACCCCCTGCCTCTATCTGTCTCACCCTCTGCCTCGCTCTGTCTCGCCCCCTGCCTCGCTCTGTCTCACCCCTTGCCTCGCCCTGTCTCACCCCCTGCCTCGCCCTGTCTCACCCCTTGCCTCGCCCTGTCTCACCCCCTGCCTCGCTCTGTCTCACCCCCTGCCTCGCTCTGTCTCACCCCCTGCCTCGATCTGTCTCGCCCCCTGCCTCGCTCTGTCTCACCCCCTGCCTCGCTCTGTCTCACCCCTTGCCTCGCCCTGTCTCACCCCCTGCCTCGCCCCCTGCCTCGCCCTGTCTCGCCCCCTGCCTCGCCCTGTCTCGCACCCCCTGCCTCGCCCTGTCTCGCCCCCTGCCTCGCACCCCCTGCCTCGCCCCCTGCCTCGCACTGTCTCACCCCCTGCCTCGCACTGTCTCACCCCCTGCCTCGCTCTGTCTCGCCCCCTGCCTCGCCCTGTCTCGCCCCCTGCCTCGCCCTGTCTCGCCCCCTGCCTCGCACCCCCTGCCTCGCACCCCCTGCCTCGCCCCTGCCTCGCCCTGTCTCGCCCCCTGCCTCGCACCCCCTGCCTCGCACCCCCTGCCTCGTCCCCTGCCTCGCACCCCCTGCCTCGCCCCCCCTGCCTCGTCCCCTGCCTCGCACCCCCTGCCTCGCCCCCTGCCTCACCCCCTGCCTCACCCCCTGCCTCGCCCTGTCTCACTCCCCTGCCTCACCCTGTCTCACCCCCCTGCCTCGCCCTGTCTCACTCCCCTGTCTCGCCCTGTCTCACTCCCTGCCTCGCCCTGTCTCACTCCCCTGCCTCACCCTGTCTCACCCCCTGCCTCGCCCTGTCTCACCCTCTGCCTCGTCCTGTCTCACCCCCTGCCTCGCACTGTCTCACCCTCTGCCTCGTCCTGTCTCACCCCCTGCCTCGCACTGTCTCGCACCCACTGCCTCGTCCTGTCTCGCCCCCTGAATTGCCGTCTCGCTCCCTGCCTCGCCATGTCCCAACCTTGCCTCACCCTGTCGTACACTTGCCTTGTCCTGTCACCCTTGCTTTCTCTTATCTCATTCTTGCATCACCCTATCTCATTCTTGCCTCACCCTGTCTCATTTTTGTCTCGCCCTATCTCATTTTTGCCTCCCCTGTCTCATTTTTGCCTCCCCCTGTCTCATTTTTGCCTCCCCCTGTCTCATTTTTGCCTCCCCCTGTCTCATTTTTGCCTCCCCCTGTCTCATTTTTGTCTCGCCCTATCTCATTTTTGCCTTGCCTTGTCCCACCCTTCTCTCATCCTATCTTGCCCTGTCCCACCCTTCCCTCATCCTGTCTTTCCCTTTCCTCATCCTGTCTTATCCTTGCCTCATCCTGTCCCACCCTTGCCCCACCTTTTCCTATCAATACCATTCTTCTCCTCACATATTATATTGCTAATGTACAAGTGTAAAAGCATAAGATTTTGACAAACTGCAGAAGGCAGGAATTAGACTCTGGCTTTTTCACTCTAAATTGTATCCAAGGTATTCCTGTGAAAATGATAGCCTTCCTGGGACTATCAAGATCTCAACATCGGCACTCTGCCAGACTACACATTTAGGAGTTCTTTCATGAGCTGAATAGTTCCACCATCTTCTTGAAGACTGACCTTGTCTGGACATTTCAACAGATGTCTGTAAATCCAGCAGACATTCTTAAGACTGCCATAACCACAACATTTGACATGTTTGAGTTGGTCCACATGACATTTGAATTACCTGAGTTTACCTGAGGGTCACTATTTAGTGGTCTTGATAAGGACAGGAAGCCAGCAGCTTGTTAAAGGTCACCTCATTTGTCCTGAGGATATTTATGAGATGGATTTTGAATTGCAAGTGTTTTTACATTTACAACTTCATCGGATACCTGGAGCATACCTGGAGAGGGTTTAGGGAGTTCTTCCGCTCCTCGAGTCCAGCTAGGGGCCAGGCTCGACTTGTGATAACTTGGTCCAACAGGCTGTTGCTTGGAATGGCCCACAGGCCTACATATCCACTACAACCCGGTTTGCGTGGCACTTCTTGCAAGTCTAAGTGTACACATCTAAGTGTATCTTGAAGTGTATCATCCCACATTGTTCCAGCAATATTTCTAATGTTTGCTGGGAGGGTACTGATCAGCCGTGGACCCCTTGATGTTCAGACAATATTCTCTGATTGTGCCTATGGCACCTCTTCTTTTCACTTTTTCTGTCCTGCATTTTCTTCTGTATCTTTCACTCCAGTATGTTGTTATTCTACTGTGCAAACTTGGGACCTGGAAGAGGATAGGTGGTTCCATGGGGTTTATGACCCTATGGGTGAAAAAGCATCCCCTGTTTTCTGTCCTACATTGTAGCTTGTTGAGCTTCAAACCATTGTTCCTTGTTTGTGTTACATCTGATCTTTTAAAGAAGTGGTCTGGATCATTGTCGTTCAAATTGTTCAGTATTTTAATGCACAATGCTGCCCAGACATTTCAGCACTTCATCACTCAGCTAGTTCGGGATCTTCCCTGCTAATGGAAAAAATTAGAGGGCTTGGAGCAAGCTACTAAAATGTCCTGCATGTCAATGCATCATTTAGGGTGAGGCAAGGAGGGGGAGGGAGATGTTAACGTCTCGGGTAAATATACAATATGCTTCTAAAATAATTTTATGGATATGCTTCTGTAGCACTCTTACCCAGTAAGTCCTTACATAGATTTCATCTTTTGATTTTTTGTTTCAGTGAACCTCCCATATATGGTGCAAGAGATGCCAGATGAGCTGAACACTGAGCTATCTGGAAATCCTCGTGTTTATGTATCTCGTCTTCGCTCAGGTAATACACCCATCAAAGGCTGGGAAGACTATCATTACTTCATCAATAATGCCAAGATCATTGATGCTAACCATGTTGCTCAAAATGAAGAAGGGATAAAGCAGGTAGTTAATGAGTGTATTTTCTTGAATATTTCATATTTGGCATTAAGCTTCATTTGACTTAAGTTTCATAAGATTTTTTTTTCATAAATGAAGGCAGAGATATGACCTCTCAGAACTAAACCAGAGTTTTAAATTGACCATGTGATTGTTGAGAGAAGTATACTTGTACGTGTGATATAAGAGCAGTGACATTATTATATAGAGGTTTGTCTCATCAGATGTTGGTGAATGAATCCAAATGAATCTTAGACCCATGCGTGATTTGTACATGAAATACCTGTACAATGCTTGTTAAGAAAGCCAAGCTAATATGTGCAATTGCACAAACTGGTACAAGAGAGTAAATACTTCATATGATTACCATAATTGGCAACTGCAATTGATGATAGGAATTGTTTTTATGGATTGAAAGATAATGCGAAAGGTAAGAAAAGGGATTGTGATGAGAGTAAAAAATACCGTGGAACCTCGGTGTATGAATTTAATCCATTCCTAGAAGTGCATCGTAACCTGAATTTTCATTTACCAAATCAAATTTTTAAACAGAAAATAATGTACAGGTAAATTGAATTAATCCATTCCACACACCCAAAAATATTAACTTAATAATTCATTTTATTCAGAATACTACTCATATTTTTTACTGCACTTTACCTTTATTGAGGACTTTTGTTGATGTATGAAAGGCAGTGAGAAGGGAAGGAGGAGGGGAGGTTCTAGTGTTTGGAAGGGGGAGTCCCCTTCCATTATATCAGGCAGTAATGACATTTCTGGGGGGTACTCTTTCTCCTATATTTTGTATGCATATCACTTGGACATGGTTGTTGTTCATTGCTTGTCTGTCTCACTAAGAATCTGTCTACAGACACTTGTTTTTTTACCTACATTTTAACAATTGTCTGTAGTGAGACATCACATTGTCGTTAAAAAGGTTAATACAATGGCTTGCTACAGCTTTATCTGGGTGAGCCTTTTCAGCAAAACTTCCTATACTGCACACATTTTCCTAGCCAGATCAACCACGTGCATGTTATCTTCATGTTTACGAATTGTCTTTTTTTTTCTTCTTCTATCAACATCCTCACAACTATTTTCATTGGTTGAACTTTACCACTGATTTTCTTGGGGACCCTTGGTGTGATATATAATAAGAACTTTTATATTAAGCAACAAAGAAAAGCACGCATATTATGAAATTATTCACAGATAATTCATACTCAGTTATCACTAGGTGGCATACAAGTGTAAGCTGATCTTACCAACTCAGACAAGTATGAGCGAGCGTCATACTCTGGAGTGAACATTGTACACCAGGGCATATTTTCTAACCAAATTTTTGCTGTATACCGAAAAATTTGTATTCAGGTGCAATTGTATACCGAGGTTCCACTGTATGTGAAAAGATTAGTTAAATAGAAAATAAAAGTAAATGAGTAGATGAGGAAAAAAATTAACACAAACTATTATAGAAAAGACAAGCTCTCTTGAAAAGAAGAAACTGCAGCAGGGAGACTAATAGATGGGTAAATTTGAGTGTTGAAGGTAGAAATGTGAGAATATTAAATGTTGAAAAGGCAGTTATAAGTCAGTGGAGAGAATACTGTTAAAGTTTAGTGGATGTGAGTGATGAAAGAGGTGCTAATTTGATTAGATTTCATGGTGTGAGAAGAGTGCAACATTGTTTAACAGCATAATTATATATGCAGAGGGTCCCCCAACTTATGATGATGATTCTTAGGATGATTTGTTCTTACAAAGTCTGTTATCGCTAATACAGTCAGGTGTTTTGTGCTTTAATCTGATAGCATGTGGATATTGTAGTTTTTTTTTTAAAGTCAGGGCTAAATGTAATGAAACACCTTGTTCTGGTAGAGCTCTTGGGACTCCCTAAATCTATCTCACTGAGATGGCTTCCCACTACTGGGGTCACATCAGTCATAGGAGTCCTGTTTGGCATACCAGGGATCAGAAGCAGAGCCTTGTGTCTACAGCTTGTGTCTATATATATACAGTATATATATATATATATATATATATATATATATATATATATATATATATATATATATATATATATATATATATATATATATATATAATATATATGAGACGAGCTCATCCCCATGAGCTCGTCTCCTCGAGACCTGTTCAGAAATAATCATGGTATCTCACTCCAAACAATGATTAATCCAGTATCACTCAAATATATTTTCGGGATGGGAACTTTCTACTACATCTCACAGATCGGGTGCTGCTTGGCAGCTCTGTGTCTCTCGTCAGTCACCCAGCTGCACTACGCTATGTGTATATATACAATTTATTTTGTCACTCGGTCCACTAGATGATTCACCTATGATACTATAGGTATATCTATTTACTGACACTCAGTCTACCTCCGAGGAGGGTGTCTTCCAACCACCCGCCCTGGTTTTTATCTCTGGGGCCCCGCCTCCTTGCAGACTTTAGTATTCAAGAACAGTCACCCTTACTAGGTGCTGTGGCTACATATTGGAGGATCTGCCCCTTTTTTGTAAAATTTTAAAAGTGGCACTTTAAATAAAAATTATTATTATTATTATTATTATTATTATTATTATTATTATTATTATTACTACACTATTATTATTATACTACACAGTAATGTACACAACAGTATTACAGTTGACTAGAGCACGTCTGGGAACACGAACATAGGTTCGAACCTCATCAAGGCTCTTGTGGACTTTTTATTATTATTATTATTATTATTATTATTATTATTATTATTATTATTATTATTATTATTATTATTATTATTATTATAATTTTTATGGCATTTATATACCATTGTTTCAGTATACAGGGCAAGTCTAACATAAATAAAACCAGCATTTGATCATTATTTCTCTTAAAATATTATTAAATTTGAATGATTTTCTTGACCAGTGAACCTATATCATTGTGCCAATGAGAATATGGTTCAAAGAGCAGAGTAAAGGAGTTGTGAAGGTTTCTCAGGAATTGTGTCGTAAGTTGAGGACCTGTAATCCATAGAACATAAACAAATTTAGATAATTTTATAGTACAGTATTTGAAATGCTAAAATTGCCAGTTGGTATGTGCATAATTCAATTAAGTTGCTATGAGTTGAGTATGGGCTTATGCATAATAATATAATGTAATAACTACAGGTTTTGACTATAACCTGCATTGGGTGACTATTACCCACATTGTGAGACTAGTCTTGGTACTTATCTAGCCAGAATGAACCACATTTAATTTATATACAAATCTTAATACAATACTGGATTGCAAAGCCTTTGGAAGCAGCTATTGTTTATAATTGAGTTTAATCTCAATTATATATGCATCATATTTAAATTTGTAAATATTTTTTAATTGTTTATTTAACAGGTTCTCCATATTGTTGACCAGGTGATAGTTCCCACAATAGCCAAGGCTGCATCCAATACTACTATTCCTGCAGGTTTCATCACCCCAGATGCACAGAAGCTACTACTGAAGCCTCAGCTTTATGGACTGGTGGATGATTATTCAATCTCGTAAGGTCCCCAGGAAAAGGCTGTTTAGCTATCTCCTGTTTTTAAAATTGAATTCTGTAATATTACCTGCACTTACCATATTAGCTAAATGAGAAGTTCAGCAGGTACAGTAGTTGAATTTCATAAATATTTTCTTTTGTTAGCTTTGGGAAAAAGCAGCATTGAATGTAATGAAACACCTCTTTCTGGTAGAGCTTTGGCAGCCCTTTGAAGTTATCACCCTAAAAAGGCTTCCCACTACCAAGTCACACTAGATATAAGAGTCCTGTTTGGCCTACTGGGGACCAGAATTAGAACCTGGCCTCCTCACAGAGGTACAGAGCTGGGGGATTGTTATGATCACCCATATTGAGAAAGCATCCAGAAAGTTTTTGTTTGAATGGACATGTTCAACCTACGCATGCCATGCAGACAAGATCCAAAACTAGGCTCAACCCTCCCTAATACACCAACTTCTGCTCTCCTTGTTGTCTGTTGTTGTGTATGTTATTATTATTTGCAGATAGGGACTGCACCACAAAGTCCTGCACTACAGTGTAGTCACTTTTGCCCTGCCTGTTATTGTAAACCCCTTTGGGGATGCCTTGATAATAATTGTAACTATGTACTTGACCCTCAACAGAGTGTTGGTACCTATGTCCGGACATGTAATAGTGTGGAGGATCTGCGACCGACCAACGTGCTGAACATCATATAGGTAGCACCAGAACAGACACACCAACAAGTCGGACAGAATGAACCACAGGTGGAGGTTGAGGAGAGATATTGTCAGTCTTTGGAAAAAGGATGGATGTACACTTAAATGAAGAACTCAGTAGTTGAAAAAGAAACAAGAAGATAAAGAAGAAAAAGAAGCATTAGATGTAATTACAAATGGAGAGACCAAGAAGAAGGTAAAGGCAGAATTTTGGCCAGTTATTTATAAGGTACTCTGGAATACCGAGCTTCCTGAGCTCAGGTACCTCCCTATTGAATTCCCACATGGTTATCAAATGACCAGCATGGCCGTTAGTCCGGTTCAACTTGGGTTCCCCCTTTGACATCATGGGAACAGGCCTCCTATTAAAATCAATAGGAGGCTTGTATTAGTAATGATTGCATCTTGTGTGACAGTGTCACCTAAGTAGCACCCCAATCTCAACCCGCACTCAAGTTAAAATGATGTCTATAGAAATTGGAAAATCTAGGATCCATAGAGGAAACCCCTCTTACATTGATCCTTGCATATGTACCTTCCGTTGCTGCCACCTCTTTGCCTGCAATTCAAAATCCCAAGATCCTACAATCGTGCATACCTCCTTCGTACCCTCACTCCGCTGGTCTGGTCAGCCCTGACAAGTCATGTGGAAAAATCCTGAAAGTTACTCTGCAGGTGTGAAGTGTGCTGTAAGTCGTTGAATCTCCTGCTGTTTTGAACAGTGGAGAGCCATCACCATTGGTGTGTCCTAGTTATTTGGTTATATGCTACATGTTAGCTAGTTAGTAAAGCCCCACTAGAAAGCTTTGGTTTAAAGTTTTGTGCTACATTCTTGTCAACTTATGAAGAAAAATTAATGTAAGTTCTTCAAATTTACCATTAGTAAGTTTTTGTAAATTGTAAATTTTTGTGTTAAATGTCTTTTTGTGTAGTTATGAAGAAAATCTGATGTAAATTCTTCTTTACATTAAATTTTCTTTCCTGTTGTTACCCCTGGCATGGGTAGTTTTTGTAAGGAAGGAACCTTGCTGGAAAGCCACCTTTTAAATCTCCCACCAGTGTACCCAGCAGCACATGTACAGAGTTAGTCTATAATCACAGAGAACGACATTCTCTAAAAAGATGTAAACAAGCTACGAGGATGAGGGAAGGGGACGTTCCCTCCAAGCTAGATTTGATATTTACCAGGAAGGAGGACCATATAGACCATATATAAACAAATACCATATAGTGTTAACTATTCCATGTACATTCTGTGATGGAAAAGCATGTTAAAAAATATAAGTGTTAAATGTGGAAAACCAGTTTAAAAAAATAAATGAAAAAAATGAAAAATAAATAGATGAGGAACCAGGAAACTGATGGACTTCCAGGATGGAGGGTGAGTGTAAACAGGAGATGCATCCCGGTTCAACCTTGATGACAACGGACATCTAGACACCTGCTTCGCCTGGGAGCTGCCGGATCACATTGTGTTTCGCGATTTTGGATTTTGATACTGCCGTTTGGGATTCCTATTCAACAGTCTGGATTGTTACGACACCTGACGCACATATCGTCTCGGGTCACATGATAGTTGATAGATTTTGAACGTTTCTGACAGGTTCCCCCGACAGAGTGATGGTGTTCAACGCTGGCTTCGCCGAGAGGTGCCGAGAGTTGGTAGGTCATGGTGTGACCTCAGACGTGGTGGATGGTTGGCTTCTGTTCTGCCAGAAGGCAATGGATGACTTTTTGCATTTTAGTTGGGGGCAGAGTTTTTGGTTTTGCTATCCAGTGTTCTCTGTGTGGGGCGGGGCCGGTGAATAATATTATATATATACACAGTATATATATAATATTATTTATATTTATATTTCACATAGGGTTTTATTTAACTACACATGATTATTTTACACTGAATAGATGGGGAAGGGGGCAGTTACTTGGATAATTCACAGGATTGTTGAGTTCAAGAGGGATACCTTCTAGCAGCCACCAGCCTTAGGGGTAAATTGACAAATGGATTCACACAAACTGGTACTTAAATTCGCTACCCTTCTCCACACTTCCTTGATATCTACAAAGGGTAACATGTGCTTTTAACAGTACAGTGTCTTGAGACTTTTAACACCTTACCAATGGGGATCACAGTTGATGGGAAATAGGCCACGTGTTACAGACATCTCGGTGAAAGAATCAAGATAACACAAAACATCACCTACACCTAGGGTTCTATAAACATAGTTTTAACACTGCCTATCACTAGCTAATACATAGATGAAGCACTGCTATGCTAAGTATTGGTACAATGCACTTATCGTTATTGAAGGAAACTCCCACATGTCACACAAACGACGCCCAGACTGTTCTCCAACCCTGCCCACAACCAAGTGAATGAGAGCTTGCACATCTGTGTCCAACTGCCCGGTTCCAATAATGTTTCATACACACACATATGTGTTTTATACACATTTCCCAATAGTTCATTTATATGTTTTATAAAGGTCCAGGCTGTTTTTCAACATATAACACTGTTGTTTCTATATATTTTCCAGAACTTGACTATAAGTACTTTTAAACATGTATTTTCTTTGCTGTGCATGGATTTTAGCAATACAGGGTCTGGACTGTTTTTCCACATTTAACACTGCTGTTTCTATGTGTCTCTACTGAGTTATATCCTTCACAAGGGTCTCTCTCTTACATAATTCCCCCTCCCAGGGGGTGACGAAGAAAAAAAAATTCATGTAAATTTGAAGAATTTACGTCAGTTTTTCTTAGTGAATTCTAACAGAATAAATACACAAAATCCCTGAGGTGCTACTAGCTAGCTAAATGACAAACAACAATGTGTCCTGTAACTAAGACACAAGTGGCAATGGCACTCCACTTGTTCAACACAGTAGGAGACTCTACAACTTACAACAAGCTTCACACCTTCAGGGTTGCTTCCAGAACTGTTCCACTTGACTTGTCACGACTGACCAGACCAACGAAGGAGAGTATGAGGGAGGTATGCATGATGTAGGTGATTATTATAATATCATCTAACCCATTATAATTATCCCTATACAGTATTCTGTTTTTTTTGGGGGGGGTTATTTTTTCTTGACTTCATTTCAACACATATTGACCTACAACTTTCACATATTTGAGTACTTATGCCAAGCAATGTTTATTAAAACTTACAAGATATGACATCAATTTGAACTACAGTACTATATTTAGTGTTGAGACGTTTACCTTCATTTTTCTATATGAACAGAATTTTCAACTTTGAGACACCACTCAAAATTCAGCTTCCGAGTGATTCTCACCATTTTTACATACGTATTATGTGCAAAGTTCTTAGTTCTAAGGTTTCTCCACATCGATTATTCATAAACCCATAACTTTTGGAGTTATAAATTTTTGCATCTAAATTTTGCACATATTTTGAAAACCACATTGACTATTTTTGTTACAGCAAACTATACTGTACATACTCTCAAACTAAATTTTATATAGAGGAAAATGAACGTTATATGTCATTCTGAGCCAATAATGAATAAAACAAAAATTGGCGAAATATTAAATTTGTTTTAGTAATTTAAAATTGTGAAATTTAAATTTTTTTATAAATATATTTTTTATTGTTGTTCCTGGCAATACAAAATGTTATGATATTGTTATCATAACGTGTTATGTTATTATATTGATCCATTTGGAAAAGTTAGAGCATTTATCATGTAGATTATGTATAAAAAAAAATTGAAAGTGTTTGAGGAAGGTTGAGAAATTGTGCACCCAGCCACTTAAAACTATAGCAATAAATCCCTTAATGAACTCTGAAACTCTTGTTTGCCAAAAGCTTGACCCAATATTGAGTTCTCTAGCTTGTTGTAGGAAACCTAACCCCTTTATAAGGTACAGTATGTCCTGGAGCCTCCAGGTATAACACTGAGTCTTGCTGTTCTTTGAGGAGGCTTACTGGCCCTACCAATTATTATATTCACCCTCTCCTCATTTATTAAGTAAGGATGAGTAGAAAGAAGCTCATGCCCTTACATCACTGGGAGCTGTATGACCAGCTATTCTATTAGCACAGAGGTGCACAGTAAGGTCCAATAGAAAAAATAGAAACAAGGTAACTGGGTTGATTTTGTGTCCCCGACTCCCCTGTCTATTTTGATCATGAGTGCCTTCCCTGGTAGGCACTTATGATCAAAGACTCATAAGGGCCTGTTAGGATGCTTTATACTTGAAGTTATCTGGGCAGGTACTCGCAGGAAGCCACTGAAGGGGCCTACCAAAAAGAGGTGTTTCATTACATTCAACTCTGGATTTTTGGTTATAGATTTTGTTTAGTGGTATTATTACAATAACAATACACTTACAAAAGTTCTTACATTCCTGTAAAACCACTAGCATGCATAGCATTTTGAGCAGGTCCTTAATCTTAATTTTTCCTGGAATGCAACCTGCCAAATTGTTTAACAACCAAGTACTCATTCACTGCTGGGTGAACAGAGACGTACAGTTAAGGATTGGTGCCTAGTCAAAATCTTCCCCAGCCAGGATACGAACTCAGGCCAAATCACTTTAACAGCATGGGGCGAGTGTGTTTGTTACCACTGTGCCACAGGGACTGTTATTACACTACAGTGTAATAACATTTATTTTATAAATGTTTCATTAGTTTGAATCTTTCATCATAATAGGCCCATGAACTGCAGCCCTGTATCCTAAACAAATCTGCATATCACCTACTTTACCAGTCCCTGTAGCGTAGTGGTAAAACACTCGCTCGGCACTTCGCAAGCATTTTGGCCTGGGTTTGTATCCTGGCCGGGGAGGATTTATTTGACACCAATTCGTAACTGTTGCCTCTGTTCATCCAGCAGTGAATGGGTACCTGGTTGTTAAACGATTTGGCGGGTCATATTCCGGGGAAAATTAGGATTAAGGACTTAGCCAGAAACGCTATGCGTGCTAGTGACTGTACAATTTAAATTTTGTTATTTATTTATTTATTTATTTATTTTTTATTTATTTATATATACAAGAATTCTTACATTCTTGTACAGCCACTAGCAGGCATAGTGTTTCGGGCAATTACAAAAATGTAAGAACTCTTGTACAATATATATATAAATGCAACACTTTTTCAGCATGTAAATCCAGCCTGCAAAGTGTATTTTGCAACTGTTGATTCTAAAAAGCGAAGTTTGTAGAATTGAGGTTGTGCTAATATAATTTGCTGGTGATTTAAATTTTTTCATATTTGAGTTAATTTTGCAGTTTTAAAAGTTACTCCATTGAGCTTCTACAATGTTCACCAATTTTGTTTCCACATTATGCCCGAAATGCTCTGCATATTAGTGGCTTTAGGCACTGTACTTGTCTTATCTAGGAATCCTCCACTGTTCTTGTATCCTATGTATGTAATTTTGTCTAAATTAATGATTATTATTATTATTATTATTATTATTATTATTATTATTATTATTATTTATTATTATTATTATTATTATTATTATTATGTTTTCAGAGAGTTTGAAAACCGTGTTTCCAACTTGGATCTCCTTGATGTTTTCAACATCTCGGGAAAGAACACTTTCTTCATACCTGTCAACCAGGCACTGAATGTAAGTAAGTTCTGACTTGTGTGAAAGTCTAAAATATTGCAAAATTGTTGTAATAAACTCAGATGTGTGTGTGTAATTTTCCAAGTGTAATTATCTAAGTGTAGTTACAGGATGAGAGTCATATTTGTGTTGTCCTGTCTTCTCTATAATTTTATAATCAATTATTTAATAATTTATAATCTTTCTCTATGTCTCTTTGAAACTGTTGATGGTTTTGGCATTCACCACCTTCTCACTTAAAGTGTTCCAATTTTCTACAATTTGTATTGCAAAAGTGAACTTTCAGACATATTTTTGGTACCTTAGCTATCTAAGCTTGTCTGTGATCTATTGTTCTAGATGTTGCAAATTTTAAAAATTCCTCTGTCAACTTTGTTCTCTTGCAGTTTTGTCGTGGTGATCATATCTTCTCTTTTCCTTCTATTATTTACAAGCTTTTGCATGTTTAATGCCTTGAGTCTTTCCCACATACTGTACATATAGGTGTGTGTATGTATAATTACTTAAGTGTAGTTAAAGGATGAGAGCTAAGCTTGTAGTGTCCCATCTTCCCAGTACTTTTTGTCATATGGCACTATGAAACTACTGACAGTTTTGGCCGCCAGCACCTATTCGCTTAACTTGTTCCGACCGTCTACCACTGTTTGCAAAAAGTGAACTCTCTAATGTTTTATTGGCAGCTTTGTTTCCTCAGTTTCAACCTATCTACTCTTGTTCTTGAAGTTGCAGCAATTTAAAAGTTCTTCTTTGTAAGTTTTGTCAATTCCTGTTATCATTTTATATGTATTGATCATATCACCTCATTTTCTTCCATCTCTAACTCTGCTAAATTATTCACCTTTAACCTCTCCTCGTAGCTCTTGTTTTTTTAGTTCCAGAAGCCATTTAGTTGCACACCTTTGCACCTTTTCCAATTTATTAATGTACTTCTTGAAATATTGGCACCATACAAACACTGCGTATTCTAATTTTGGTTTCATGAAGGTCCTGAACAATTTATTTAATACAGTACTGTATTTCACCGTCCATGTATTTAAAAATGACTAAAGTTGGAAAACCCAGGTGGGATAGAAATGGTTGGGCACAGTTCCTTTCACCTAATGCCTCTGTTCACCTAGCAGGGAGTAGGTACTCAGGAGTAGTCAGCTTGTTGTGTGGTTGCATCCTGGGCAGGGTCAGTAATTCAGCCTGAGGATGGGGGGGGACCTCGATAAAAGCCAAAACATGTATGAATACACTCTGGCTTCCTGTTCCCTGACACAATGAATTATAATTATAATCATCTGTCAAAATTTGGCATACATCTCATTTATTTCTTTGCCTAACAACAAATCTTTTCAATCAAATTCACTAAAGAGTTTTCTAAGTTCCCCATATTGTCCTCTCCTGAAATCACGTTTTAAAGTTGTGTCATTTTCCCCATTCTATTCTAAGTTATAACCCATTACATATTTTATTTCTAAAAAGACATGGTCGCTCTAATCCAAGAAAAGGTGGTACTGAATGTTTGTGTGTAAAAACCATGTTTTCTGGTGGATAGGACTCACATTTTTGGTCCTTCACTAACCAAATATATACAGTATACATATTATTGTATTTCCATGTTCAAAATAATATATTTTGTCCCCTTTAAAACCACCTGAAAATCATTTTCAATGAATGTACAATAAAACATACTAAAATTATGTTTTTACGCAAAATATCTTTGTAAATTTGGTGCGTCTTATACACTGGAAAATTCGATGCCTAAGTGTTTCACTTAATTGTAGTTACAGGATGACAGCTGTGCTCATGGTGTCCCATCTTCCCAATAATCGTTTTTCATGTGCAACTTTGAAACTGTTCATGGTTTTGGCATCCATCACCTTCTCACTTAAGTTGTTCCAATTGGTTTCAACTTTGTTGTCAATTGTCACTTCCTGTCACTATTTTGTACATAGTGATCACATCACCTCATTTTTCATCCATCTTCAAGTTTTGGCATATTTAATACCTTTAGCTTTTTCCCATAGCTCTTATTTTTTTGTTCTGGAAGTCATTTAGTAGCATGTCTTTGCACCTTTTCTAGTTTATTGATATGCATCTTGAGATATGAACACCACCTAACTTCTGCATATTCTAATTTTGGTAGCATGAATGACATTAACAATTTCTTGTATATCTCCATCCATGAATTTAAAAGCAATATTATATTCATGGATGAATATAAAATTGCTTTTATATTCATATATAAAATGGATGAATATAAATTGCAACTTTGAAATTTACATGTGTGCACAGTGTTGGCTCCTTTTATAATACCTTTCATAAGGTCCTTTGGTGACAGTTTTCTTTTTCAAACCACCCAAATATCTCTCTATCAGAGGTCTTTAGCATCTGTTCAAATAATTTATAGGTTGAGTTTGGTCTTTTTTCCCCCTATTCCACATTCCTTTATGTGGTATTTATCCTCATTGAATTCCATCTGCCATGTGTTGCTTCACTGATGCTCCATTGACTAGTCTTGTTTATGGTATCTTGAAAGGCATAACAGTTGTATAGGACGTTTATTCTCCTTATCAAGTTAGAATCATCAGCAAACATATTCATGTAACAACTCCTGATAGCTTAGAAAGAGAATAACATTTCTCCAGTCTGAGGTATTGTCTCATTGTAGCTTCTTTTTCTCTTGGATAAGTTGTCATTTATGTCACTAGTCTGTTGATCCTGTATGTTCTAGCTTTTAAAACTTTTTCTTGTGTGGGATTCTACCAGAAACCCTTTATGTTTTTAGGTCCAGATAGATGCAGTCACCCCCAACCATCTCTTTTCTGTTAGATCACTGTGGCTTAATCATAAAAGTTTAGTAGATTTGTTACACAGGACCTTACAATTCAAAAGTCATATTGTCTGTCTGTTACTATGTTATTTCCTTCCAAATATTCTACCTGTTTGATTTTAATTATTTTAGTGATTTAATTACGACATTTGTTAATGATACTGGTCTATAATTTAGAAGGTCTTCTCTGCTACTATTTTTATAGATTGGAACTATGTTTGCCTTTCTCCATATGTCTGCTAAGTTCCCTGTTTGGAAGCATATCTGAAAAATAATTTGTAGAGAAATGCTAATTCAGGTGCACATTCCCTTAGACTCCAAGGTGAAACTTCATCTGGCCAAGCTGCTTTGTTTCTGCTTAACTACTTGAGCAGTTTTCTGTCATCTCACATCTAGGTACTATACTTTATGCTCTAATCTTCTTATTGTGTCTTAATTTTTTGAAAAAGTCATTTTACATAAACATTCTCTGGAGCTGTTCATTTAATGTTTCATGTGTATGTATGTATGTGTGTGTGTGTGTGTGTGTGTGTGTGTGTGTGTGTGTGTGTGTGTGTGTGTGTGTGTGTGTGTGTGTGTGTGTGTGTGTATATATATATATATATATATATATATATATATATATATATATATATATATATATATATATATATATATATATATATATATACAGTATGTCGTACCTAGTAGCCAGAACGCACTTCTCGGCCTACTATGCAAGGCCAGATTTGCCTAATAATCCAAGTTTTCCCGAATTAATATATTTTCTCTAATTTTTTTCTTATGAAATGATAAAGCTACCCATTTCATTATGTATGAGGTCATTTTATTTTATTGGAGTTAAAATTAACGTAGATATATGACCGAACCTAACCAACCCTACCTAACCTAACCTAACCTATCTTTATAGGTTAGGTTAGGTTAGGTAGCCGAAAAAGGTAGGTTAGGTTAGGTTAGGTAGGTTAGGTAGTCGAAAAACAATTAATTCAGGAAAACTTGGCTTATTAGGCAAATCGGCCCTTGCATAGTAGGCTGAGAATTGCGTTCTGGCTACTAGGTACGACATATATATATATATATATATATATGTCGTACCTAGTAGCCAGAACGCACTTCTCGGACTACTATGCAAGGCCCGATTTGCCTAATAAGCCAAGTTTTCATGAATTAATTGTTTTTCGACTACCTAACCTACCTAACCTAACCTAACCTAACTTTTTAGGCTGCCTAACCTAACCTAACCTATAAAGATAGGTTAGGTTAGGTTAGGTAGGGTTGGTTAGGTTCGGTCATATATCTACGTTAATTTTAACTCAAATAAAAAAAAATTGACCTCATACATAATGAAATGGGTAGCTTTATCATTTCATAAGAAAAAAATTAGAGAAAATATGTTAATTCAGGAAAACTTGGCTTATTAGGCAAATCGGGCCTTGTATAGTAGGCCGAGAAGTGCGTTCTGGCTACTAGGTACGACATATATATATATATATATATATATATACACACACACACACACACACACACACTCACACACATATATATACATATACATACATACATACATATACACATAACTAAAGAAACAAGTTCCCAAGCCTGATTTCTATAGCAGGACAGAGATGTTAGGTGTCAAGGAGTTCAGCAACTATTTTGGGTTGCATCATGGAAAAGGTCAGTAGTTGGTCTAGGGGCACCTTGATATACCTAAACAGGCTTCTTGGCCTTGGCAATGAGGAACCAAACCTTTCCATTGAAATCCTTTAAAGAACTTGTTAAGTTACCCATAATGTGTCAAGTTTCTTTGCAGTCTCACTTTCTCTAGCATATTCTAGATATAATATATTGTATTGTATCTAGTATGTTATATCTAGTGTATTATATCTAGTACAGTATATTGTATCTAGTATATCTAGATTATAACTGGATAGACCGGATCCATGATTGATTTTCACCTTTCCGCATTCTCTTGACCTGTTTAACATGCTGATACATGTCTCCAGAATAAGATTTACAAATCTTCTGGTCCAAATGTCCTCTATACTTGCCTCATAAGTCTTACAGTCTATTGATTTAGATTTTGTCACAGAGTACCAACATTCATGCATTATCTTTGTCTTCTTCTATAATCTCTCTCATGATCATTATCAGACCTGCTCATTTGTTTCAAAGCTCTTCCTTA